ATTCAATGTTAGCTGGAAAAAAATCTTACCTGAAATTCTTCACAGCAACATCACTGTCTACTAAAATCAGTTCAGAGCCCAGAGTATCTGCCCCTCCCACCTTCCTCAAACCCAAAGTGATATATGTCCGCAAGATTTAAATTTAAGAGAGACCCTTTAGGCTGGAGTTCTACAGCCCAGGAAGCACAGAGGGACACGGAGACAAAGTGATAAACAGCTTTCAGATTTTTGTACAAGACCTTCCCTGTGTGTTTCATTCAAGTACTTCACCTACTGAGAAAATATAGTGTATTCATGCATCAACTCATATCCAAGGCAAGTATTTGTTGTGGATTAATAGCTATTAAGCATCTGCTGTATCCACTGAACAATGTTATATACTAAACTGAAGGTAGGGGACCAGTATGTGGGAACCATTTCTACTATGTAACACTAGTGAAATAATTACCAATGTAATATTTAGAGTACCAATTCCAGTATTTTAAAGCTTTCAAAGAGAACACATTATAGGATAAAGTCAACAGGCTTTTTGGGGGTACCAAATCAAACACCTCATAGATCCCTCTAGCTTATAATTTAAAATAACCAAATATTATAGCAAAGTTCACAGTAAGAAAGAAACCATTAAAACATAAAAGTTGTATTAAAAGTGAAATATTATCATAGAAAAAAGACTTTCTAGGATTTCTTCAGGTTTTCTTTGAACGTTATTCATACTAGATTGGTGCTCTAATGTTCTAATTTAAATGTTAAAAATTACTAATATAAAAATAATTAAAATTCTGGGCAGAGAAATCCAAGCTAAGTGAAATCATCATAAACCAAATATGAATTTTAAAGTAATCACTGAATGTGATGGTAAAACTATTCATCTTCTAGGCAGTTTCAAGGATCGTAACTATTGCATGAAAGCAAACACAGTTATTTACGTATATAATTCACAAACCAAGTCTGTACACTTAATTTCTTGAAGCATCCAAATTTGGGAACATCAACTCAAATACTTATTGAGTTCATGCAGGGATGTGTAGAAACCAAGTATGAAGGGCATCATACCAAGGTCTAGCAATTCAGCCTGGAGGCCACCAATTTGTGACTTCTGTTTTAGATCTTTGGTAACCAAAATGACAAGTAGGAAGCAATCTTAGAAATACCCATTTCTTACTTACAAATTTCGCCATCATCTATAGCAGTGTGACAAAACTAGGGAGAATTTGCATATTAGCAATTAATGAAAGTAAATGTATCTGACAAGAGAAAAGGCTTTAATTTTCCACCAAAGGAAAGAGTTCAAGTTAGCGTAATTTTTCCTTGAAAAGATATTTTGGGTATACTGGTAACACAGTAGAGATATGTAACACAAACAAACATTTTTTTGTGTATTTTTTTTATTGTCTGGAACACCAAAGTAACCCAAATTTCACATTTACAATGAACTTTTTAATAAAAAATATGCTATACATATTAAGGGATACATGTTATACAAGTTTTTGAAAAGTAAACACATACACTTAATACAGTAAAGAGAATAGACTGAATTGCTATCATTAATATTCCCTTTCACCTAAATGATCAACAACCCCTACCAATAGCTTTTATGAAACCACCACTGTCCTAACTAGCTATTTTGGAGTGTGAGGTACAAAGAATGGATTTCTTCAAAATTAAGTGATAATGAATTATTACTGTGCATCATATAACTTCGTATTTTCAGAATGTCACTAAAATAATCAGAATCTCTACAAGATGGAGGTTTAGTTCTCTACAAATTTGGTAGTGTGGGGTACCTCAGCCCAACTCTAGAAACAGGTAGTTAGTTACCACTTCCAAACTAACACCCACACTTAAATTTGATCTTTCAGAAAATTCTTTAAGCCAATCCTTGCAGCACTGCACTGCCTCCTCTCCGTATAATCAGGCCCTACTACTGAATTTTGGGAGATGCGACGAACAGTTGTTTGGCCCATGCTATTTCAAAAATACTATTGCCATGTTTCAGAAATTAAGATCCAAGAACTCAGTTAAGTCCCAAGGATAGGTTCAGCTTCCCTTGTAAGAAAACTACCTGCGTATCATTAATGAGAACAATACATATATCATATTATGCTATTTCAACGAAATACCACTATGGCCAACTCTTTCCCTCAGTAGGCCAAGTGATGGAACTTGAAAATGTGTGAACTTATGACCCAGTCTAATCTACCAGGAAAATATGGGAGGCAACTATGTCAAAGTGCATTTTTTTAAAAAGCCCATTTCCTTTGCCAACAAACAGAACAGTTCAAAACTAACTATAGCTAAAGTAATATAATTTTTGAATTACAAAGTAGAGATCTTGTCTAGGTATTTTAAGTATCTCCTAGGACACTCCTTACCTGAAATAAGCCCCCACCATTCACAGATGGCCTCTACCCTGTGGCAGGCCCCACATGTCAGTCGTTTTATATACATAAGCCCATTGAATCACCACAACACCTGGTGTGTCATTTTTATTCCTCCCCCACCTTTTTAAAAAACAACAACAACAACAACAACAAAACAAAACAGATGAAGAAACTGGAGTTTCATATCACCTTATAGGCTTAAAGTTTCCTGGTACAGCACAGCATTTCTTTTTATTATCGTAAGAGAAAACATTAGAGCACCAAGAAGAAAGTTGAAAGCATCTTAGTGCTAATATTCTACTACTTGGTCAACATCAACAATATCCCAACCTAATTCGCAACCCTTCAGGGCTACAGTATTACATGTGATTACTGCATTTCTTTATCAGAATGATGGAACTATGATTCCTCTTTTGGATAAATTTTCCTTTATTTGCGTATGTGACCTTTCTCTTAAAGGCCAAAATTTAGAGGATATTCTGTTCAAGATTTCTAATTGAAGGAACATGAAAGGCTTTCTTTCTCGTGACTGGAACTAAACTACTGCATTTCAGGTAGAAGTACTTATTTTAACAAAACAGTTTTCATTTTTATGTTATGTCACATTTTGATCTTTCCAGATTTGGAACAGCCTTCAACTTAATTTTGTTTTGAAAGTTACAAAGATCATCATCAGAGGTAAAGTATAAACAGCCCTACATTGAAAACCATCCATTTATCCAAATCCTCAAGTAACAAATGTCCCTCTCTCATGGAGTTTCTATTCTAGTATGTATTTGGGAGGGAGAAGAAGGAAAAGACATACAAAGAGGCGTGTCAGGCAATGATAAATGCCGAGAAATGTAATTATTTTTCTAGCATTGCCTAACTTTCTAAGTTTGTTTTTCAAGCTCACCAACTTTTGATCTGTGGTTTAGTTTGTTTGACACGTTGGATGCAGAGTTTAAATTAGGCACCTCAGTAGTGATAAGAAATAAAGGGCATAGTCTTCAGGACCTTAATGTTAAATCAGAGGCAGTCTACTTAGTCTTCAAGGTTGTTTGAAAGTAGTGGTTATTAAACTCTTAGGGATGAAGAAAGCTTTCATTTAGTGGATTTACTAACGCCAGAAAAAAAGCACAAATGCATGTCACTTTGTAAATAGTCTCAGGTGGCCTAGTATCCATGGATGCCAGTCTCAGAAATTTCATTACAAACAGAATTCACAATCAGTCAGTGTGAGGTGGAGGAAAGGGGTTGATCAGAAAATACTATCAAACTCAGATTCTGTGATTCTTATGCAACCATCTTATTACAAATATGAAAAATAAAATGCATAACAAAACTGAGATCCAAAGATTTTAAGGTATTCTGGCTCCCAGAACAACGTTCCTTCTACTACACGATTTTCATTATGGCGTAGACCTTGTAAGCAACTTCCTCATTAAACCATTTGCCATCGTTATGATGACTACTGCTGCATTACTGGTGACAAAATTTTAATCCTAAATGCTCTTTTACCATTACCCAGTATGTATACTAAAGGAGTTGAAAAATCAAGTTTATTTTCAGACTAGAGAGGGCAGAAGACAGCATGCTATTTGAAAACAAATTGATTTTTATTATAAATGTAGTATATGCACAAAGTAAAAAGTTCCAACAGCACTGAAAGGTGTAGGTGAAAAGTAAAAGTCCTGCATCACAAACTAATGTTCCACAGTCCTACATTTCAGAGGCACCTAAGGTGCTCTCTCCTTTAAAAAAACTATGATTATGAAAGCTCTTATGTGCACATACATATACTTCTGAAAAATACAATGGGGTTACAGGACTACAATGTTATAATACTAAGGAGGAATTAACTACCCATTAGGAGAATCAAGTGTTGATTATACCTGGCAAAACCACTTCAAGACACAACAATGTATTAATTTAAAAGATGGTCACTATAACAAGTATATGAAATAATCATTTATAACTCAAGCAAGCAAGGTAAAGCCTCTTAAAGATGGAAACAATCTAAATCATACTTCCCTTGATTGCAGTAGTAAAACTGCGGGTAAAGAGTACAACAGATAAACTAGCAAGAGGAAACTAAGGGGTGAGAAAACACTGTCCCAGGCTGTGCAACTGTCACTCAGACAATAAAGCCATTTTATTACAATGTATCAAAGATAATTTCTTTGATAGCCAACAGAGATTATCACAGCCCAGGATTTTATAAAAACTGGTCCAGACAGGAAAAAATTCCGGGTTGTCAAAATGCTAGCTCTTACAACGCTGGATGTCTGGCGTTATATCAATCATGGACTCTGTTACCAATTCCGTCTCACAGAGATTAGTTTACCTTCCTACACCACATTACGATGTACAAATCCACACTTTCATTCAGGACAACAAACATGATTTCATCTTTGAGGTTTGTCTCTTGGGCTACTCTTGGTAAAGAGTACCATATGGTACCAATTTACCAATATGGTAAAAGTGTACATATTTAAAAGGAAGATCTTCCTCAAAGAAAAGTACGAGTCTCAGAAAACATTTTACCAAAATTAGCATTGTTTAAAAAGAAAAAAAAAAGTAAGACACCTAACTTGGGTGGGGAAAAAAAAACTAATGATAAAAAAATTAACTTACCAAGAAGTGAAACAGGCTGGGTTACAGGAGGGGTGGGCAGATTCGTGGGTGCGGCAGGTGGCACGGCAGAGCCATACATTTTCACACTGTCACCAGACTCGGCGTTTCCTCTAGCCCCAGACACCACTGTTGGAATGGGATTTCCAATAGATAAGTCTTTTGTAGTGTCTTCATTTATACCAGCGATAGTAGCTAAGGAATATAATTACATCAACATGTGAAGCTGAATAATTATCTCCCCAGTCAACATTCTTTTGCCATACTATAGACCCTATTACTGGTCCATTCTCCCTCCTACTCCCAACTCCAAGAGGACGAGTGAACACAAAGGAAAAACATGCTTACAGTTTGGGATGCTTATTGGAGGAGTGTGAGGAGGAGGAATGGATACTGGTGGAGTTATAGGAGGTGGGGGTCCAGGAGGAAGAAAACCTAAAATAAGAAAAATAATGTCAACTTACGTTGTGTCACCTTACTTTGGGCTCTAAAAAGAAATGTCTTCTTAAACAACTCAGTGTACCTGGTGGTAAATGCATCGGATTAAATCCTGGGCGCAAAAATGGTGGAGGAGGTGGTGGAGGAGGAACACCAGGACCAAAACCCGGAGGGGGAATGCCCAAGGGAGGCGTGAAAGTGGGTGGCTGGAGAGCACCAACTACAGGAGGACCCGGCTGATGTGGCGGGACCTAAAAACAAAGAAAGAAGAATGAAGCCACATATCTAGCCACCTTCCCATCCACATAGTTAAGCAGAGATGAAGAAAAGATCTTGTTGAAAAAGCTATTTCTAAACTTGTGCTTATTGTGTGAATTTATCTAATGACAGGTGGTAATTAGTACCTACTATAAACAATTCAAATTTTTGTTCACTACTCTATGACAGCAAATTCACATTTTATCTCACGAGTATCTATTAGTGTTCTGATAGAATATGACATGTTGCATCGATAGGTAAATGTGAGAAATACAACTCTAAGAAAAGATACCTCGCAATTTACAGGGATTAAGATCCCAGGTTCTGGAGTCAAACTGCCTCTTCCCTCTCCACTTCTAACTAGCTCTATTATCCCGAGTAAGCTATTTACAATCTTTAGCCATCAGTTTACTTATCTGTAAAATGAAAAAGTGCCAACCTCACATAGTTAAGGGGATGAAAAAGGTAATACATGTTTAAGTGCTAGTGCCTGTCACTTTACAAAACACCCAACAAATGTTAGCTATTATTAAAAAACAAAAAAAAAAATATGATCAACTTTAACAGATTAGTCAGGTTTCTTTAAATGAGTGGTGATATACACTGAATCTTATTTAGAACCTGTGCTGAATGCGCACGTCCAAAAAACCAGCTAAAGAGTTTGCCAATTTAACCCATGTACAAAATATCACAGCTAAGTATATATCAAAGCATGTGATTTTCTCCTTAGGGAGGGAAAATCAAAAGGCTAGGTACTTGAAGGGAGGAGCAAGATGGCAGAGGAGTAGGAGATCTAAATTTTGTCTGGTCCCAGGAATTCAGCTAGATAGTTACCAAACCATTCTGAACACCTACAGACTCAACAGGAGAACAAAGGAAAGAATACCAGCAATTCTATGAACAGAAAAGCAATTACTTTCTGGAAGGCAGGATGTGTGGAGAAGTGAATCCAAGGCGACATTTGGGAAGAAAAGACCATGGGGGTGGGGGGATGGAGCCTCTGTCAACCAGCTACTGGCAAGTGACAGAAGAGTGGAGCATAAAATTGGAACTTTTAGAAGTCTGCTCCACTGAGGGATGTTGCTCCAGTGGCTAAGTGGGGGGTGGAACCCTCGCTGGGATAGTGTAGTCCAGGACCCTCAGGGTCACAGAAAGAGTGGGGGTGCCTGTATGTGGCAGAGCCCCTAAGTATTGAAGTGGGGAAGCAGCTGCACAGATGGACCTAAGAAGGGGGCTCTCAGCTTGGGGTTGCCATAAACCATGATCTGACGCACAGTCTGGCCACTGCTCTTTGAGCAGGGACCCAACAAGTGACAGATCTGGGGAGATTCCCCTTCTTCCCCCAGGAGATGCGGCATGGGAGCACATTGCAGGAATCTGATGGGTTTGGAAACCCTAAATGGGGTCATGTGTCAGAGACAGAAATGCTCCATCACAAACCTGGTGAAAGGAGTGGGGCCCCGAGCCCTTGGCTCCTCTGGGGCCAGAGACTGGGAGGCCGCCATTTGCATTCTCATCCTCCAAAGCTGTATGGAAAGCTTTCAGGGAACAAAAGCTACTGAGAGCAAACAGGAGGAGATTACTTAGCTAGGCCCCTGGTAAGAGCAGTGCAGTTCCGCCTCAAGCGAAGACACTTAAGAATTACTGCAACAGGGACGCCTGGGTGGCTCAGTGGGTTAAGCCGCTGCCTTCGGCTCAGGTCATGATCCCAGGGTCCTGGGATTGAGCCCCGAATCCGGCTCCTTGCTCAGCAGGGAGCCTGCCTCTCTCTCCGCCTCTGCCCGCCTCTCTGACTGCTTGTGTGCTTTCTCTCTCTCTAATAAATTAAAAAAAAAAAAAAAAAAAAAAAAAAATCACTGCAACAGGCCCCTCCCCCAGAAGATCAGCAAAAATATCCAGCCAAGACCAAGTTTATTGATCAATGAAAACTCTAAAACTCTAGCACTAGGGGAATACAGCATATAGAATTCATGGGTTTTTCCCCCATGATTCTTTAGTCTTTCAAATTAATTTTTAAAATTTTATTTTAAAAAAATTTTTCTTTTTTTTCAACCAACACCTTATCAATTCCTTTTTAAAAATTTTTTAGTTTTCACTTCTACTGTCCTATTCTATCCCTTCATTGTATTTAACCTTATTTTTGGTATATATGAAAGTTTTTCTTTCTTTAAAATTTTGGGATACAGTTTCTTCTAACAGACCAAAATATACTCTAAATCTAGTTTATGGCTTTGTTCTAGTCTCCTGCCTGATCACTTTCTCTTTTAAAAAAAATTTTTTTTTAAAAACCAGTTTCTTACCAATTCCTTTTTTAAAATCTTTTTTAAATTTCATCTTTACAATCATATTCTGTCCCTTCATTGTATTTACCCTTATTTTTGTGTATATATGCAAGTTTCTCTTTCTTTAAAATTTTGGGAGGCAGTTTCTTCTAAAAGACCAAAATACACCCAAAATCTAGAGTGTGGCTCTGTTCCATTCACCAGCCTGATGATATTTTTTTTTTTTTTTTAAAATTTGGGAGTTTTTTTTTTTTCTTTCTTTCTTTTTTTTTTTTTTTTAAAGATTTTATTTATTTATTTGACAGAGAGATCACAAGTAGGCAGAGAGGCAGGCACAGAGAGAGGAGGAAGCAGTCTCCCTGCAGAGCAGAGAACCTGATGTGGGGCTCAATCCCAGGACCCTGGGATCATGACCTGAGCTGAAGGCAGAAGCTTTAACCCACTGAGCCACCCAGGTGCCCCCAGCCTGATCATATTCTTATTCTTTTTCAAAATTCCCTTTTCCTTTTGTCGTCACCCACCTCCCCGCCCCCGGTTTTGGGCCTCTTCTGATTTGTTTAGTGTATATATTTTCTAGGGTCACTGTTATACTTTTGGCATTTTGTTCTCTCATTCATCTGTTCTTCTCTGGATAAAATGACAAAATGGAAAAACTCACCTCAAAAAAAAAGAACAAGAGGCAGTACTGACTGCCACAGCCCAAATAAGATGTGGGAACTACAGTTCAGAATGACAATTATAAAGATACTAGCTGGGCTTGAAAAAAGCATAGCAAATACTAGAGAATCCCTTTCTGGAGAAATAAAAAAACTAAAATCTACCAAGTCAAAATCAAAAAGGCTATTAATGATGTGTAATCAAAAAAGGAGGCTCTAGCTGCTAAGATAAACGAGGCAGAAGAATTAGTGATATAAAAGACTAAATGATGGTGAATAAAGCTGAGTAAAAGATAAATGACTACTGGATCACGAGGCGAGAATCTGAAAGATAAATGATACTGTAAGATTGAACAATATTAGAATAATTGGGATCCCAGAAGAAGAAAGAGAGAGAGGGGAAGAGGGTAGGCATCAGAATCCAGGAGGCACAGAGAATCCCCCACCAAAATAGGTCAACACCCCGACATCTAATAGTGAAACTTACAAGTCTCAGAGACAAAGAGAAAACCCTAAAAGTAGCTCGGCAGAAGATGTCTGTAACCAACAATGGTAGAAACATTAGACTGGCAGCAGACCTATCCACAGGGACCTGGTAAGCCAGAAAGGACTGGCATGATATATTCAGAGTCCTAAATAAGAAAATCATGCAGCCAAAAACACTATATCCAGCTAGGCCGTCACTGAAAATCGAAGGAGAGATAAAAAGCCTCCAGGACAAACAAAAACTAAAAGAATCTGCAAACACCAAACCACCCTACAGAAAATATTGGAAGGGATCCTCTAAGCAAAGAGAGAGCCTAAAAGTAAGATAGACCAGAAAGGAACAGAGACAATATACAGTAAAAGTCACCTTATAGGCAATACAATGGCACAAAATTCATACCTTTCAACAGGTACCCTGAACGTGAATGAGCTAAATGCCCCAATTAAAAGAAACAGTGTCGGACTGGATAAAACAAGACCCAGCAATATGCTGTCTGCCAGAGACTCATTTTAGACCCAAAGACACCTCCAGATTTAAAGTGAGGGGGTGGGAAACCATTTACCATGTTAATGGACATCAAAAGAAAGCTGGGGTGGCAATCCTTGTATCAGACGAATTAGATTTTAAATCAAAGAGCATAATAAAGAGATGAAAAAGAACACTATGTCATACTTAAAGGGTCTATCCAACATGAAGATCTAACAATTTTAAATATCTATGCCCCTAACAAGGGAGCAGCCAATTATAAAACCCAATTAATAACAGAATCAAAAAACCACATCAACAATAATACAATAATAGTAGGGGACTTTAACAAACCCCTCACAGAAATGGACAGATCATCCAAGCAAAAGATCAACAAGGAAATAAATGTTTTATTTTTATTTATTTATTTATTTTTAAAAGATTTTATTTATTTATTTATTTGACAAACAGATCACAAGTAGGCAGAGAGCCAGGCAGGAAGCAGGCTCCATGCCGAGCAGAGAGCCTGACGTGGGGCTCGATTCCAGGACCCTGGGATCATGACCCGAGCCAAAGGCAGAGGCTTAACCCACTGAGCCACCCAGGTGCCCCGGAAATAAATTTCTTAATTGACACACTGGACAAGATGGACTTCACAGATATGTTCAGAACGTTCCATCCCCAAAGCAAGAGAATACATATTTTTCTCTTATGCACGTGGAATGTTCTCCAGAATAGATCATATCCTGGGTCACAAATCAGGTCTCAACTGGTACCAAAAGACTGGAATCATTCCCTGCATATTTTCAGGCCACAATACTTCGAAACTAGAGCTTAATCACAAGAGAAAACGTGGAAAGAACTCAAATACATGGATGCTAATGAGCATCCTACTAAAGAATGAATGGGTCAACCAGGAAATTAAGAAAGAATTAAAAAAAAATTCATGGAAATAAATGAAAATGGAAACACAACTGTTCAAAATCTTTGGGATGCAGCAAAGGTGGTCCTCAGAGGAAAGTATATAGTAATACAAACCTGACTCAAGAAACAAGGTCTCAAATACGCAACAAACCCTACACCTAAAGGAGCTGGAGAAAGAACAGCAAGTAAAGCATAAACCCAACAGAAGAGAAATAAAAAAGACGAGAGCAGAAATCAATGAAATAGAAACCAAAGTAACAGTAGAACAGACTGACAAAACTAGGAAGTGGTTCTTTAAAAGAATTAGGAAGATTGATAAACCCCTGGCCAGATTTATCAAAAACAAAAGACAAACGACCCAAATTAATAAAATCATGAATGAAAGAGGAGATCACAACCAACACCAAAGAAATACAAACAATTATAAGAACATATGAGCAACTATATGCCAACAAATTAGACAATCTGGAAGAAATGAATACATTCCTAGAGATGTATAAACTACCAAAACTGAACCAGGAAGAAATAGAAAACCTGAATAGACCCATAACCAATAAGGAGATTGAAGCAGTCATCAAAAATCTCAACAAACAAGAGCCTAGGGCCAGATGGTTTCCCAGGGGAATTCTACCAAACATTTATAGAAGAATTAATACCTATTCTCCCAAAACTGTTCCAAAATATAGAAATGGAAGGAAGATTTCCAAACTCATTCTATGAGGCCAACATAACACTGATCCCAAAACCAACAAAGACCCCATCAAAAAGGAGAATTACAGACAATATCCCTGATGAACATGGATGCAAAAATTCTCACCAAAACACTAGCCAACAGGATCCAACAGTACAGTAAAAGGATCGGTCACCACAACCAAGTGGGATTTTTTTCCTGGGCTACAAGGTTGGTTCAACATTCACAGCAATCAATCACTGTGATACAATACATTAATAAAATAAAAAGAACCATGTGATACTCTCAGTAGATGCAGAAAAAGCATCTGACAAAGTACAGCATCCTCTGTTATCAAAACTCTTCACAGCGTAGGGATAGAGGGTACATACCTCAATATCATAAAAGCCATCTATGAAAAATCCACAGCAAGTATCATTCTCATTGGGGAAAAACTGGGCTTTTCCCCTAAAGTCAGGAACACAGCAGGGATGTCCACTATCACCACTGCTATTCAACATAGTACAAGAAGTCCTAGCCTAGGCAATCAGACAACAAAAAGAAATAAAAGGCATCCTAATAGGCAAAGATGAAGTCAAACTCTCACTCTTTGCCGACGATATGATACTTTATGTGGAAAACCCAAAAAACTCCACCCCAAAACTGCTAGAACTCATAAAGGAATTCAGTGAAGTGTCAGGATAGAAAATCAACACACAGAAATCAGTTGCCATTTCTATACACCAATAAGACAGAGAAATTAAAGGAGTCAATCCCATTTACAATTGCACCCCAAACCGTAAGATACCTAAGGATAAATCTAACCAAAGAGGCAAAGAATCTGTACTCAGAAAAGTACAGAATATTCATGAAAGAAATTGAGGAAAACACAAAGGAATGGAAAAATGTTCCATGCTCATGGATTGGAAGAACAAATATTGTGAAAACGTCTATGCCACCTAGAGCAATCTATATTACACATTTAAGGCAATCACTATCAAAATACCATCAACTTTTTTTAAAGAAATGGAACAAATAATCCTAAAATTTGTATGATATCAGAAAAGACCCTGAATAGCCAGAGGAATGTTGAAAAAGAAAACCAAAGCTGGGGGGATCACAATTCTGGACTTTAAGCTCTATTACAAAGCTGTGATCATCAAGACAGCATGGTACTGTCACAAAAACAGACACAGATCAATGGAACAAAACAGAGAATTCAGAAATGGACCCACAACAATATGCTCAACTAATCTTCGACAAAACAGGAAAGAATATCTAATGGAAAAAAGTCTCTTCAACAAATGGTGTTGGGAAAATTGGGACAGCCACATGCAGAAGAATGAAACTGGACCATTTCCTTACACCACACACAAAAATAGACTCAAAATGGATGAAAGACCTAAATTTGAGACAGGAATCCATCAAAATCCTTGAGGAGAACACAGGCAGCAACCTCCTCGACCTCAGCAACTTCTTCCTAGAAACACTGCTTAAGGCAAGGGCAGCAAGGGCAAAAATGCACTATTGGAACTTCATCAAGATAAAAAGCTTCTGCAGAGCAGAGGAAACCGTCAACAAAACACAAAAGACAACCAACAAAATGGGAGAAAATATTTGCAAATGACATATCAGATAAGGGCTAGTATTGAAAATCTATAAGGAACTTACCAAACTCAACACCCAAGGAACAAATAATCCAATCAAGAAATGGGCAGAATACATGAACAGACATTTTTTTTAAAAAAGATTTTATTTATTTGAAAGACAGAGATCACAAGTAGGCAGAGAGGCAGGCAGAGAGAGGGGGGAAGCAAACTCCCCGATGAGCTGAGTCCCCGATGTGGGGCTCAATCCCAGGACCCCAAGATCATGACCCGAGCTGAAGGCAGAGTCTTTAATCCACTGAGCCACCCAGGCGCCCCACGAACAGACATTTTTGTAAAGAAGACATCCAAATGTCCAACAGACACATGAAAAAGTGCTCAACATCACTCGGCATCAGGGAAATACAAAACCACCGTGCGATACCACCTCACACCAATCAGAATGGCTAAAATTAGTTAGGTCAGGAAATGACAGGTGCTGGTGAGGATGAAGAGAAAGGGGAACTCTCATACTGTTGGTGGGAACTCAAACTGGTGTAGTCACTCCGGAAAACAGTATGGAAGTTCCTCAAAAAGTTGAAAATAGAGCTACCCTATGAACCCAGGAATTACACTACTGGGTATTTACCCCAAAAGTACAAATGTAGTGATCTAAAGGCGCACGTGCACCCCAACATTAATGGCGGCAATGTCCACAATAGCCGAACTATGGAAAGAGCCCAGATGTCCAGCAACAGATGAACAGATAAAGAAGATGTGGTGTGTATATACATACATACACACACACGCACACACACACACACACACACACAGGAATGTTATGTAGCCATCAAAACCCACCCCCCCAAATTTCGTCATTTGCGAGGAGGTGGATGGAACTAGAGGGTATTATGTATGCTAAGCGAGTTAAGTCAATCAGACAAAGACAATTATCATATGATCTCACTGACAGGAGGAATTTGAGAACAAGACAGGATCATGGGGAAGGGAGGAAAAAATGAGAAAAACAAACAAACAAACAAAAAAAAACAAACAGAGAGGGAGACAAACCATAAGAGACTCAATCTCAGGAAACAAACTGAGGGTTACCGGAGGGGAGAGGGGGTGAGAGGAATAGGATGACTGGGTGAAGGACTTTGGGAAGGGTATGTGTTATGATGAGCACTGTGAATTGTGTTAAGACTAACGAATCACAGACCTGTACCGCTGAAACAAATAATATATTATATGTTAATTAAAAAAAAAAAGGCTAGGTGATAGTTTTTTGATAGTTCAGATTTATCTGACTTAATGTGAGCAACTGAAAAAGGTACAGGAACACGCTGAGTATTTAATATACATTATGTCATTTAATCCTCAAAACAACTCTGACCTAGGAAGAACACCAGAGCCAAAGCCAAGAAAGGGAATTTGCACATTTACAAATAGGAAATTAAAGCTTAAATTAGGTGACTTGCCCAAAGTTACATTGTGAAGAACAAACAATGGAGCTGGGATTCAAACTGCGTTCTGTTAGAATTCAGATTCTCTCCTCTGAGGTAATGCACTAAGTGATCAGACAGCAGACATTTAAGAATATGCTTTCATTTTAAGTGGACCTCAATTTATTCAATAACTGATCCATTAAAAAATGTCATGATAGCACCACACAATTTGAAAATTGAGAAAACCTCTTTCCCTCAAAACAGATGCTTGTTGGGATATATACTTTAAGTTCCCTCAGATCATGAAGTCTCAAAAGAATAAAGATCCAATAAAGGAAAACAAGAGGAAACAGAATGTAAAATGCTATTAGGTTTGGATCTCAAGCCTGAAACATTATAAAGACACTTAATAATCTAGACAGGTGTCAGGCAATATGAATTTACTTTGATTTTGTTGGTGTTTATGGAGAATGTATTAGAGTTTATAAAAAGTAGGTCAGACATACGAAAATATGAATATGAACATCGATGGATTCATTCATGTCTTTGAACATTAATCTAGACATACATCTAAATAAATAAGATTTAGAAAGGTTTATCTTTCAGACACAAGTTTAAATAGTGCTCCAAATATTCTTACCTGTGGAGGTGGCACTGTTATAGGTGCGGGGACAGGAATAGGAGGGACAGGCACTGGTAAAGGTTTAGGTATGGGTGATACTGGTTCTGTATGTGAGGTTTCTGCCCCCCCATTTTGGGCAACTTCATTTTCATGCTTCTTGGGGATTCCTTTCCAATCTATAAGAATTAAAGAAATTTAACAATACAAGTTTGCCATTTTCAGTTTATAGCTTTAAATACAGAAATCATTTTTAAAATGCTGATTATATAAAAAACCCAGCAGTATGATTATTAAGGAAATGCCTATGCTAATCTTATAAATATTAAGCGAATAAACAATAAGAAAAAAACATGCAAAAGAATGCCAATTGTGTCTCAGACACAGTTCTAAGTAATATGTATTAATTCAGTGAATTCTCATAACCATCTGTAAGTAGGCCCCATTATTATTCCCATTTTATAAATGAGAAAAACAATTTGGAAATTAAGGAAAACAAGGTCAGATACTGCTAAGTGGCAGAGGAGGGATTCAACATACACACATTTGGCTATATGGTCTATGTTCTTGACCATAATAGCGTACTGTCTGGAGTAAAGGTCCCAGGAGGGAGGAGCAAGATTCTTTTTACCTGGACCAGAATGCCTGGCACACAGTCATGCCCTGATACCTATTTGCCTGAACAGAAACCTAGCTCTACCCTAAAGTGAAGGCACCATGCACTGTGGGAAACAAGGTCAAGGTATGGGAATGGCCCAGCATGGTTTCACCTCTTTTTGGCTTTCAAACCAATTCCACTTGCTTCAAACTCCTTTAATCACTTACTTCTATTTTGCCACAGCACCCCGCACTCCACCTCGTCCAGTTATCTAGCAATCTCCAGCTCATGCCCACACCTGAGGCTATTTCCCCCAGTGTAATCCTACTGTCAATCTGGCATTTTTAATGCTCATCGCACAGGTAACTATACCTCCTTGTCTTATATGTTTACTTTCGACTGTTTCTCTGGACATTTAAATGTTTTCAAAGAAATTATTATGAAGCACTGGATTAAAACACAATACCAGTAATGTTCAGTTTAAGACTCATTTGACCCATTAGGTTTTCACAGTGAAAAATTCCATTATGATCTACTTATATTGTAATTAATGATTTAACCCCACAATCAATATTATTTCATTTATGTCTCAATCTGTCCCACTAAACAGAAGTTGCCTTAAGAGTAAAGACCACATCTGTCTTATCTTCCACTCCTTCCTCCGTTTATTATGGAGAGATTAGCACATAGAGGGTACTTGAAAAATCTCAAAAATCACTTCCTACTGTGAAAAAACATTTTTCATATGTACAGTCAAGAAAACAGATGAATTTTAAAAGAAATTAAATACTGTTTTACCTGGATTAAGTGTATCACTGTCCAACATTCCTCCTTCACAAAAACTCTCCAGTTCTTCAGGCTTGACTTTGTCCCACGGAATATAAGTAACACCCAGTTCTACATCCCAATACTGCTTGTAATCTGCCTTTATTCCTTTGTTTAAAGCCCAGGCAATCTGTATCACCATTAGTCAAAGTATAAAAAGAAAGAAAGAAAGGGAAAAGAAGGTCAATTTTGAGAATTAACTGTTTCTTGAATTTCTAGTCACTCAGATTGGGGGCAAAAGGGGAATAATCTGGCCTTGCTATCCACAGATTTCAATTTGATGACAGGAAACTGGTTAACCTTTTCTCCCACTTTATGCAAATTTAACTGGCATTGCCTCCTTATCCACTCTTTGAACCACTCACTTCTCAATTTAGCCAACATAAAACTTAGAGAAAAGGAAAACAGTGTTTAGCAGGGAAGGTTGAATGAAGTTCCCTGCACCAGGACCACTTTCCAAAGTCTTGGGTACCTTGGAATTATTCCACATTAGACAAAATCCTTTTGTAGTGCAGTCAAAGGGTAGACTGTTACGACACTAAGGAAATGCTGACTCTGGCCCCTTATGGGAAGAATACCCATGTACCTACATCTTTTCCTCTCTGTTGAATTTTTTTTTTTTTTTTTTAAGATTTTTGTTTATTTATTTGACAGAGATCACAAGTAGGCAGAGAGAGTCTCTAGAGAGAGAGAGGGAAGCAGGCTTCCTACTGAGCAGAGAGCCCGATGCAGGGCTCTATCCCAGGATGCTGGAATCATGACTGTGCCGAAGGCAGAGGCTTTAACCCACTGAGCCACCCAGGCGCCCGACTGTTGAATATTTTTAATAGTTAGTATTCTAAGGATGAGATAGCAAACTTTAAAAATGTGTAAAATTCAGAGGCACCTGGATGGCTCATTCAGAAGACCATGTAAATCTTGATCTTGGGGTCTTAAGTTCAAGCCCCATGTTGGGTATAGAGATTACTAGAATAAAACTTTTTTTTAAAAAAGATTTTATTTGTCAGAGAGAGAAAAAACAGAAGCAGGGGGAGTGGCAGGCAGAGGGAGAAGCAGGCTCCCTACCAAGGAAGGAGCCCAATGCGGGACCTAAGCCAAAGGAAGACATTTAACAGACTGAAGCCACCCAGGTGCTCAAAATAAGTAAAACTTAAAAAAAAATTTTTTTAATGTATAATATTTAGAAAAATATTTTAAAAATGTATAAAATCCAAAATATCTTGAATGACAAAATGAAATTATATTTAAAGCACCAATTAATTAAAAAATACCTTGATGAATTCCACATGAACCTAACATTTAAAATTTTGTTAGTATTTAGGAGATAAGCTCTTTAAAAAGATATATAGGAAATGCTTCAGTGTCCAAAATTAGTTTTTAAAAAGCCAAGTAATGTTATGTATTAAATTTTTAAAAAAATGAACTATAAGGTATAAAAACTGTACCTTTATGGATTTCTGGTTTACTTTATAGTTCCCTCGGCTCAGTTTCTGCAGGGCACGATAGGCATCTTGCCTGTGAACCATAACAATATAGGCACAACCTCTGGGAGGAATCATCTGCTCCAAGATATTTAATAAAATAAAATAAAAGAGCAACAAAATTAAATAAATACTAAATAACCAATTCCAATAACCCCAACTCCCCTGACCCCTACCCATCCCATGAAGCCAGGTTCTAGAATCTGAGATTAAGGTATCATAAACTGGCAATCCAAGTGTGGTCTCAGCTGCCAGCTTATAATGAACTTACAGTTCTCCAAGCTTTGTTAATATAGATTTTTGTAGAAAAGGGTTTCAAATTAAACTTGGGTTATCTAAGAACTGTGGTTAAACGCAGAGAGTGCTAAACTGGACTTAACACTTACACTAGCCACATCTACAAAGCTGGGCAAATTTTAACTTGGGTCTCAAGTCCTATGACATTAATCACACCTGTCAATCATTACATAATTTAATAAACACTCACATTAATTGATTCAATTGGACCGAACTCTTCTAAGAGACTGGCAACATCTTGTTGAGTAGTCCTTTTGTCCAGCTGTCCCACCCAGAGTGTAGTACTACAAACTTAAAATAAAATTATAATCATAAAAATATACGTATTTTGATAATGAGCAGCACTGTACTTTTCTACAATAAAAAGAAAATCGTTATAAAAAGATGCAAAGTCACATGATACCATAAGATTAAGTAGCAAATCCCATACACATCCAAAAATATCCTAGAAAATTGTGGTAGTACTTCCAGAAATGGAATAGGATAGCTGAACAACATAAGAGTTGAAAAAAATCTGGCCCTTTTGTGGACATATCTAAACTGGGGCCAGAGATACAATAACTGGTCCAAGGCCACCCTTGGCAAGTGAGCAGCAGAAGACCCAATCCTAACTCTCTCGATCAACAAACAGTCCAGCTGTTTTTGTCCACTAACACAGCTGTCTCTTCCTGACTGTTGAGTATACACGAATGGTTTTTCTCTTATGTTGTATCCTAGGTAATATCTCCCAATCAGAAGCTCTACACATGCCCTACTTGTAGTATAAATAAAAATTTCAACAGTAACTGCAAACTTACACCATGAATATGTCTAGCATACCTTATTAAACATATTCTAAATACATGATGATATTCAAGAGATAATGCAAGCTAATATATTCTGTAAACTGTAAAACCTCTCCACGTATAGGAGCGCTAGTTCATCGGCTTCCATTTCATACATTAAATTCAAGACATGCTATCACTTTATTTTTCATCACTATTAGCTGGTTTCACTCCTTACTGCTGCTTTACAGCTAGTTTTTTTTTTTTTTATTGTGTTACATCAGTCACCATACAGTACATCATTAGTTTTTGATGCAGTGTTCCAAGATTCATTGTTTATGTATAACACCCAGTGCTCCATACAATCTGTGCCCTCCTTAATACCCACCACTGGGCTCATCCATCCCCCTATCCCACTCTCCCCTAAAACCCTCAGTTTGTTTCCCAGAGTCCACAGTCTCTCATGGTTCTCTCCCCTTCTGATTCCCCTCTGCTTCACTTTTCCCTTCCTTCTCCGAATGTCCTCCGTGTTATTCCTTATGTTTAACACATCAAAGCATATGACAAAGCACAAACAAAAAAGAGAAAATAAAGCAGTATGTCGCTAACAGTTATGAAACATTTTATACCCAAGATACACAAAAAATAATGCAAGAAGTCTGAATGTAAAAGTTAATTTACCACTCGCAGTTTCTGGTTTGATTTGAGGAAGGCCTTTTTGTCGGCGTTCTCTTTCTTTTTCTCTGTCTCGCCTTTCTTGGGACCGAGATCTAGGAGAATGTCGGCGTCTATCTCTGGACCGGGATCGAGAACGTCGATGGCGGGACCTTCGAGATCTAGAGCCAGATCGAGATCGCCTTCTTTTTGGTGACCTAACATTTCCATGAGGGGGAGAATGGATAAAATACAGAGAAAGAACTGAAAATGTAAGTGGGTATTAATCTGAAAAAGAAAAAATATAACTAGGTAGTTTAATGTTTAGACATGTAATAATTCAAAAGCAGAGAATTCATTTTTAAAAAGTTTAATATGCTGCAAGTTAGAAAGCATGCACATATTTTAAATGAGATAAATAAGGATGCTAGCTTATAAAAAAGTCTCTCATCTTTGATAACTTGATACTATACTAAATTATGTGTCTGGGAGTGTAAGAAGCTGTCATCACTGAGACAGACTGCTTACTGCTGGTATCTATCTTCTCAGTTAACTTCTTTTCTGCAGCAAATAAAAATATTATCTGTTTATAGTATTACTTATTACCGTTCCACTTTTGTTGGCTGATCAAATCGTAAAGGAACTGTGAATACAGAATTCCTATCATTCTATGCATATATGCATGCAGGCACTGGAGAAACTCCAGGGGAAAAGCACGGGTAAGATGACAGGCCTTAGTTTTTTACATCACTACTTCTGCTCCCACTCTACACAGAGAGACATACAAATACACCAAATGTTATTTTATTAACGTTGTCTATCTAAAAATAATCCAGTTTGATTTTAATTTGTCTCCTAAGACACACAGGATTGGAAAAATATTTTCTATCAATTACCTGGATGCTGACCTAGATCTTGACTTTCTGTTATCAGACATGTGCCGCTTAACCTCTTGAATACAAGGCTGTTCGACTTCCATTTCCTTTAAAAATCAATAAAAACAAAAAGAACCAAAACAACCACCCATCATTAAATGAGAGAAATGGAAATTATAAAGGTAAGAAGACAAAATCTAAAAAATGCTAAATTACAAATCCTTTGCCTCAACAGTTTTTTTTAATTTTTTTTTTTTAAGATTTTATTTATTTGACAGAGAGAGAGAGAGAGATCACAAGCAGGCAGAGAGGCAGGCAGAGAGAGAGGAGGAAGCAGGCTCCCTGCTGAGCAGAGAGCCCGACGCGGGGCTCGATCCCAGGACCCTGAGATCATGACCTGAGCCGAAGGCAGCGGCTTAACCCACTGAGCCACCCAGGCGCCCCTGCCTCGACAGTTTTATTCTGGTTACTTGACACCACATTACTAGTTTAATAATGACTGTCCATCAGTGAGGAAAAAAAAGTTTTTATATGGTTTACAAGATTAGAAGAAACACTTCTCTACTTCTGGAAATTCATATAAATTACATATAATTTTATTAAACCATTGATTACAGTGGTAAACTAGGCATTCTAGTTAAGCATTCTGGACTCTGACTCAATCCTCACAGAATCCTACGGAAATTGGTTATTACTATGTCCTCTTTCCAGATGAAAAGCTTTAGGCACAGAAAGGGTGAATATGTGCCCAAAGAAGTCTTTCTTCACATTCAAAAATGAAGATAACAAAGCAAACAGGCAGGAATCTGCATATAAGTCAAAGCAACCAAAAAGATAACCAATCTGAGAATAAAGTTTTACCTGATGTGCCTTCTGTGTTAGTGGTTCATTCTGTGCCTGAAAAGAAGCTTGGAAAGGCTGCTGCACAGGTGGAGTTGGAGGAATCACAGACTGAGCCATGGGAGGAAATGGAGGTGTAGGAAGAAGGCCAAATCCTGGCATCTGTCCATTAGGAGGAAGTGGAACCTTTTGTTTTTAAAGAAAGCACGTGAGTAGATTTTAAGTAACAGCTACCAAAAATAATTTGGAAAGTCCTTAGTTACTTAATGTAAAAACTAAAATATCTTCAAGCAATTTTGATCAAGCAAAAACCGTGTAGTGACACACAATAACGATTAACAATTTCCGTAAGTGTAGTATTTATCTGAAGAATTTACATCACGTATATAGGTTAAAAATTCTAGAACTCATTTTTTTTTTAAATTTTGTTTATTTATTTGACAGAGATCACTAGTAGGCAGAGAGGCAAGCAGAGAGAGAGAGGAGGAAGCAGGCTCCCCGCTGAGCAGAGAGCCTGATGTGGGGCTCGATCCCAGGACCCTGGGACCATGACCTGAGCCGAAGGCAGAGGCTTTAACCCACTGAGCCACCCAGGCACCCCTAGAACTCAACTTTAAAATTATGAATACAAAGGCTTGACTTCATATATTTAAAGACATAATTTCATTTATAAGAGGAACAATGTGACTGAATAAACTTAAAATTCAGAGAGGTACTGTACTGTAATCTGTCTCCCTTCAACCTCAAAGGCAATCAAGTCAATTGGGAGGGAGAGTGGCTATAGCACTGATGTACAGGTTCACTTTTTAAAAATTTACTCCAAGGGAAATTTCAATAAACATCCCCACTTTTAGGGTTCAAAAATATCATATTATTAATGAGAGTAAACCACAACGTAACATATTTCTGCATGTGCCATTCCAATACGGACAATATTAAAAGTATAATTATAGGGGCTCCTGGGTGGCTCAGTTGGTTAAGTATCTGCCTTTGGCTCAGGTCATGATCCCATGGTTCTAGGATCAAGCCCCACATCAGGTTTCCTGCTCAGTGGCAAGTCTGCTTCTCCTTCTCCCTCCTCTCTGCTTGTGCTCTCTTGCTCTCTCAAAATAAATAAAATCTTTAAAAAGCACAGTATCGGGGCGCCTGGGTGGCTCAGTGGGTTAAGCCACTGCCTTCGGCTCAGGTCATGATCTCAGGGTCCTGGGATCGAGTCCCGCATCGGGCTCTCTGCTCGGCAGGGAGCCTGCTTCCCTCTCTCTCTCTCTCTCTGCCTGCCTCTCCATCTACTTGTGATCTCTCTCTGTCAAATTAAAAAAAAAAAAAAAAAAAAAAAAATCTTTAAAAAGCACAGTATCAATTTCCTAGTAGCAAATTACAGAATGGATCAAACACGATACACATAAGAACATGAACATACTCTTCAGAGTATTTCTCAGAACCCTTTCTAAACCAAGGATACGAAGTAGTATTTCCCAAGGCTGGTTATAAAACAGAATCTGTACATTTAAAAAAAAAAATACAGATTCTTTAGATTTGACTTTAGCATTAGATCCCTACCTCTGTCATTTCGCTGTGCAGTTAAGTTTAGGAAACTCTGAATAAAGGATTTGCTAAAATAAACCCAATAGCAAACCCCTACGAACTTCTTGCAATTTTCCAGAGTTCCTTTCACTGCAAATCTCCAACTATACTCCTGAATGTGGAGAGCTAAAAACCCTCTAAAGCATCTTAAACATCTACTCCCCCAAAAAAATCCTCACAAGGGAAAAAGCTGCACCATTAAGCAGGCCAGGTACCTAAAACAGAGCTATAATCTCTTCTAAAAGGTTTTAACAAAACTACCTGTTATTAAATTATAAGCATGTAATATTTAGTATGCTTGTTTTAATTAAAGCTTTTTAAAAATAACAACTCAAGTCAATCTCATGCACAACAGCTCTGACTACGGCTGCAGTACTACTTAGCCAAACATACAGCTAACCAACAGTGGGCTGGGAGGGGCAATCCGTATGCTCTAATGAACAGATCCTCACATATTAAAACTCAGTGGCGAGAAAAATGTGTATACCTGATGATGCACTGGGTCCTGCTGTATCGTCATCATTCGAGGCTGAAACTGATCCATAGTTTGATGCTGTGTGTATGCCGGCTGCTGCATGCCATCTCCAGGAAACCCACTAAAAAAATAGGAGCTATCTTCATTTTGTCCATTCAAAAACACGTAAGATTCTAAGCCACATTTATACTACAGAGACATTAAGAATGCTGTTCAGGAGTCATTAATAATTAACATCTTACTGAATCATGTACTTGCCTACATTAATTTACACATCCAGCATTATTCCCAATGTAAATGCCATTTTTAACTGTAAATCTGATAGCATCTCCTCCCCATTCAAAAGAAAACCCAAGTATCATTTTAAAAAACAATGACCATATGAAAAATGACTTTGTTACTGAAGTTATAGTTGACCCCTAAAAACACGGGTTTCAACTATGTGAGTCCACTTACAGTTTTTGGCTACAGTACAGTACTGTAAACATATTTTCTCTTCCTTATGATTTTAACACTGTTTTACCTCTAGCTTACTTTATTCGAAGAACACAGCATGTGTACAGGTTTGGCTTCCAGTGAAGAGTAGGCTATGTAAGTTTTGGGGGAGGCAAGTTATAATGCAGACTTCAGACTCTGGGCAGGTTGGCACCCCTACCTAATCACCATGCTGTGCCAACGATCAACTGCACTTGTCTTATGCCTGATTACGACTCCCAACTCTATCCATGGAGGAGCGTAGGAAAGAACTTACAAGGGTGCCTGTGGAGGGGAAGTGGCAGGTGCGGGGGCCGGCGTGGTCGCGGAGGGCGCGGGAGGTGCAACAGCCATGGCAGGTGCAGCGGCGGCAGCAGTGGCGCCATCTTCTTTCTTTGATTCTTCCACAGCCTCTGGCTCATCATCATAATCAAATCTATCGAGTAGCTTCTGGAATAGGTACATCAATATTCCATTTTAAAATTGGGATTGGAAAAAAAATAATAAAGTTGGGTTGGGATACACTACACAGAAGACTTGATAAAAACAACAGATATCTCCTATCATCTACGATCCCAGCGCAGTAATGTACCATCTCATGTTCCCACTCGCCCCTTAGCACCTTGGTTCACAGACACACCAATGCCACACAAATGCCATCTGAAAAAGAATTTTTTTTTTTAAATATTTTATTTATTTATTTGACAGACAGAGACCACAAGTAGGCAGAGAGGCAGGCAGAGAGAGAGGGGGAAGCAGGCTCCCTGCTGAGCATAGAGCCCAATGGAGGGCTCGATCCCAGGATCCTGGGACCATGACCTGAGCCGAAGGCAGAGGCTTCAACCCACTGAGCCATCCAGGCACCCCTGAAAAAGAATTTTTTACTGTTTTTCTTCACCAATTATAAATGCAGTGTTTTCTGATTATTTTCTTTTCTTTTCTTTTCTTTTTTTTTAAGATTTTATTTATTTATTTGTCAGAGAGAGAGAGAGGGAGAGCGAGCAAGCACAGGCAGACAGAATGGCAGGCAGAGGCAGAGGGAGAAGCAGGCTCCCTGCTGAGCAAGGAGCCTGATGCGGGACTCGATCCCAGGATGCCGGGATCATGACCTGAGCCGAAGGCAGCTGCCCAACCAACTGAGCCACCCAGGCGTCCCTCTGATTATTTTCTATACACTTATTTTATAGTTAATTTAGCAATATAAATATTAAAATATTCACACACTAAAAACGTTTGGAACTTTGCACACATGAAGATGGGTGTACATTTTCAGTTAACTGTAAAATGTACCAAGACCGTCTTATCCAATCACTATAAATCCCTAAAGAAGAATGTCCATATGCTGCTTGCTCAAAAACATACTAATATGACAAAGAAAAAAGAGAATGGCACAGACACGGCCATGAAGAATTTACTACCTGGGCACCAACTTCTTCCTTAAAGCTTCACAGCTCATGTCAGAGTACCAGAAATATGGAAGGAAGGAAGGAAGGAAACAAGCAAGCTAGCTCAACACGTCACAAGATCACATGTCTAGAAGAGCCATTTAAAAATAAGATGACATTTGTTCAGAAAGGAAGGAAGGTAACACCACAAACACCTACTCCTACCACCATCTACTGTTTACATATCTATGTATGATACTTCATCACAAGAGGCCTGCAATGTACACATAGCTTAGATATAATTTCTTCTTTTTATAGACAAGGAATCTAAGACCCAGGTGATTAAGAAACATTACTCAGACCGCAGAGCCACCAAATGGTAGAAATGGGATGTGGACACTGTTCTTTTTAACTTCAAATCTCTCAATCTCTGGCATTCAAACAAGCAGTCTTTTCCCTCAAGCTGTGCCCATTCTGGTCATGGATTTTCAACCTCAAATTCCTTAACTTGTGTTGTTTTGTGGTAGTTCTGCCTAGAAATTATGGTTCCACTTTACTGGATAAGAGATTTCTGAATTGGGAAAGGAAGTCCCCTTCTTGGATAACATTATTTCTTTGTAATGCCAGGCCATGTCATTAAAAGTTCTTACAGTGGGCGCCTGGGTGGCTCTGTTGGTTAAGCGGTTAACGTCTGCCTATGGCTCAAGTCATGATCCCATCGGGCCCCACATCAGGCTCCCTGCTCAGCAGAGAGCCTGCTTCTCCCTCTGTCTCCCTCTGCCTCCTGCTCTGCCTACTTGTGCGCGCCCTCTGTCAAATAAATAAATAAAATCTTAAAAAAAATTCTTATAGTAACTGAGTGATCTAATTACGACCCAGACACCTTGTTGTCTTACACACATTAGCGTATCATCTAACCCTCAAAGCAGCAAAGTCTACATACTGCTGTCACTTTTACAGTGCTGCACAATGAATACTTAAGTGACTCAGCATCAAGACAGAGTCAATGATGGGAGTCAAAATTAAAACTCAGGTTTAGATTATCTACAAAAAACAAAACTTCTGGTCTTTACTGTTTTTCACACGTAGATATGGTCTTCAAAGTTTTAAGATTTAAAGCTATTGCTTTGAAAATGATTTGAAAAAATTAAAAAATTAAAACTAAGATTCAAAAAGACATTTTTGTTGCTTTTTAGGAAAGTGAAGATCTGTGAAGCAGCTGAAGCTGTTCTACTAGCTTAAAACAGATCTTTTAGTCAAAGGAAAATCACAGAATCTCTTTTTCTGAACTTCATGTAACTGACAAACACCGACCAACCAAACCACTTGACCAACAAAGGACTCCATCAGCATTACTATTATTCAGTATTTTTTTGAAATCCTAGCCACCAGTACAATAAGAAAAAGAAAAAGGCATACATATTGAAGAGGAAAAGTCAAATTTAGTAGCTACCCAGAAATCTGAGAACCAACTAAAAAACTAAGTGTTTAGTATCATGAACATTTAAAAGATAAAAGAAACAAACAGGAAACATGACTAAACATCTTAGAAATAAATGATGTAATAAATGTACAAGACTTGTATGAAAGGGATTTTAATAAATGGACATTCTGTGTAAAGCTCTTGGTACTTCTTAAATTAATTTATAAATTCTAAAATTTATGTTAAAGTTCATCTCGAAAAGTATGATGTGATGGTTAATTTTATCAATTTGGCTTAGGTTACCATGCCCAGTTGTTTGGTCAAATATTCATCTAAATGTTCCTGTGAAGGTCTTTTAAAAATGTGATTAATATTTAAATTAATAGAATTTGAATAAAGAAATACCCTCCATAATATGGGTGGGCCTCAACCACTCAGCGAAGGCTTTAGGAGTAAGAACTTCGGTTTCCCCAGGAAGGAATTCTCAAGACAGCAACATAAAAACCTTGCTCTGTAAAATTCAGACTCAGAACTGCAACATTAACTCTTGCTTAAATTTCCAGCCTGCCTTCTGCCCTACAAATTTCAAATTTGCCAGCCTCCACAACTGTGTCAAACAGCTCCTTACAAATGAACCGATCTGTCCCTCTCTCGCTTTGCATGTGTGTGGGCATGTGTGTAATACTTGGAAATGAAATAATATAGTACAGAAGCTGCAAGTAGTTAAGTTGTTATGATGCAGAAGTAATTATATTAGGAGGACACAACAGAGTTCAAATGCCCACAAACAGACACAGAAACAAATGAGAATTCAATGTATGACGAAAATAGGGAGGGAGAATTGGCTATTTCCAAAAAGTTCAAGATACAACTATCTTGAACCATATTCTAAAACAGGTTCCAGATGGAAGGAAGAGACAAACATAAAAAACAAAAATATAAAACTACTAAAAGAAAATATAAAATTAAAAAAATATATACGTGCGGAGAGTTTTCCTAAACTCCGAAAAAACATAAATAAACCTGTTCCAAGCAGGTAATTGCTTCCCTTTTCACTTTAGAACTTTCTATATTATGTTCTTTTTCCCTATAAGCATGCACTCTTTTTCGACTTCAAATTTTATCCAAACTCCTTTTAGTGAGTAGTTGTTCATAAATCATGAAGATATAATGACAACTAGTATTTACCAAATGGATTCTTAATTTGGACTACCAGCAATAAAATTTTATCTTAAAATTAAAATCTGGAAAGAATAAAACATTTTAGAGATGATTAAGCTAAAAGATTTCACTTAGTTCTAGGGTTTTCAAACATTTGTATTTCTGGCAGTGAGACCAAAAAAAAAAAAAGAAATTTTGTATGGTCATAAACCCAATAAACAGACAAGACATAAAACAGGTAAGACAGAGTTGTCTGGGCTGACATTTCCACAGGAAGCTCTGAGCTCTATGAATCCAGCACATCTATATCCTTAGTTGCAGCTCCTTAAACATGCCTCCAACAGAGCAGCTGGAAGACACTGAACCAAGGAAACTCTCAAGTTATACATATGGTAAGTTCTAAGAGCAAAAAAGCAAAAGGCAACTTCAGTGTCTGTCAACAGGGGAATGGCTAAACTGTGAGGTGCACGTGTAATGAACACTCCTCCCAACAAGCACTCAGTAAAAATGTAGACCTAAATCTAAACCTTCAAACTGACAAGAGAATTAAGATCAAAACAAGTTAAAGACTGTGTGTATATATATATTTATATATTATGCATAAAACATGCATATATTATATATTGTAATATACATACATACTATGACCAAATAAAGAAAAACCTATCCACAGGAAATTAGTTCAGAAGAGACATACTGCAAAAACTTACAGTAGTTATCTCTAAGTACAGGGGTTAATGGTGAAAGTTCTCCTGTTGACTTTCCTACTTCCAATTTACTAAAAATTTTTGCATTGAGTATATAGTACACACTTACAGCCAGGAAAAATAATCAATGTCTTGCTGTCAAGGGGGGGAAATCCTTTAAGCCACAAAACAACAAAATGAACAATCCAGAGAGAAAGAGAGAAGTAACTTCCATATCCTAAATTGAGTGGTATGAACAGTCAAGGTGGGTTATGTAAGAGAAGCAAGCCTACCTTGTCAAATGCAGTTTTTTGCTCAGGTGGGGGGAAAACAGCTTTTTGTTCAGGTGGCTGTGCAGGAGCTGTCTTTAACTGAGCTGTGATAGCCTGGACCTGAGCCATCACGGCATTGTCAATGGCTGGCGACTGCGGTTTTGGAGGCTGTTGAAAAGTCTGAAGGATCTGCTGAAGCTTAAAGAATGGGAGAACTGATAAACCACATAACAAAGTATAATCACAGTATCAAAGGTTGATCTACTGGAAAAAAAAAAATCTTAAAGGTAACTCAAAACAGCACAGGCACAAAGTGAACTGGAGAAAGAATACACCTTTTAGTAGAGGTTAAGTCTGTTGTAAAAACCAGGGACACAATGTGTGTCATTTAAGGTTAAACATGTATGCTGATACCCCAACACGCAGAAAACAACAGTCAAAAAGAGAAAATACACTGAACTGTGAACAAGGTGAAGAAACATTTTCTAGAAAAATGTAAAAAATATCTCCAATCCAAATATAATTTTGAAGTTAGTCCGAAATGCTAGAATCATGAGCCACAATACCAACCAGTCAGCAGTTCTGAAGTTCTCTTCACAGGGGCACTGCTACTGCTCAGCACACGGCTCCCTTACTTCTCACCTTTCCCTCACTGCCCGTTATCCCTATGCTGTTATCTGCCTTGTAAATGCTTTTCTAGGTGAAAAGGAGAAGTATTTCCTCCTTTGAATGTGTTCATTAGTTAGGAATGGAAAATAAAAACTGAAAATAGTACCTAACTGCATGGAATTTAATCTTGAGATGGTAGTTTACCTGTTGACCTTGAGTTGTCTGAAACAGTTGGGCCACAGCAGCAAAAGCGTCAGAGCTAGGCAGCTGTGGTACAGTTGGTACAGAGTTTGTAGTGGCTTGGGGCGGTTCAGAAGAAACTTTAACTGGAGGTGGAGGTGAACCTAAAAAAGAAAAGGCCATTAAGACCTGCAAAAACTTTAATCTTCCAATTTTCCTTTTTAAACTCCATTAGCTTTTTTACTAAACAATGCATTTAGTTTAACATACAGGAAAAATAAAGATCATGGTACTAGACTCTGTACTATAGCAAATACATGAAAGAGCATATTTTTATTAGAAATAAGAACTGTGAAAAGAAAACCATACCTTCCAAGATGTAAATTCAAAAGTCTTTCTTATGGAAAAATTCCAATATAATCAGACCACAAACTTCTCACGTACAAAAGTTATACCAGTATTTTTCTAAGTTCACAGATATACTTGGCCATACCTTCATTATTAGTAACATTTTCTGCTACTGGGGCGGCATTACTGGTTCCTGCAGCCATGTCCAAAAGAGGCTGAATAATTTCAATTTTGAATACTCCATTTTTTTGCCAAAGGTTCAGCACACGAACTATTTTACTCTGTTATGTGCAATAAAACATGAATATACAATAAATATTTTCACAAATAATGTATTATACCTCTAAAAAAGAAAGAAATCTCTAAGCTAATAATTCCATACTAAGTCTGTTTCATAAACAGAAAAAATTTATCTTTAGAATTACCACCTGGTTAAAACTACCCTCATCAGCCTTTCTTCAGTAGTATAAACAAGAATAAAAAGCAAGGGAGAAAAAGAAACAGAAAAAAAAATATATATAAGCTAGATAATAAAAACAAACATGATAAAAAATGTACCTCAAGTTTTCATTGTATTTATGATTACAAAGAAATACCATCACTGACAAAAGGAAGTAATTATCTTAGAAAAGTAAATGAAGTGAAGAAGAATTTCTTCAGGATGATTTTAAGCATTAAAATATTTAAGAAACTGGCCTGTAATTGATAGCTAAGTCATTTTATGGCCCAGTAAATATGATGGCAAGTGAGAGAAGATGTGTCATTCATGGGAAAAATAACTCTTATGTCCTACTCAGGAAATGATTTTTTTGTCTTGTATATTTTTCCCATTAAGAACATTCCTCTAAGAATATAGATAGAGAATCCACAACACCCAAATTTATACAGTGTTCACTGTAAATGTCTTCATTCTTCTGAGTGGTTTTAGCAGAGTATTTCTCCCACCTACTGGGAGTCCAGTTATCATGTCTGTAATGTTCTTTCTTCTACCCTTTTTATAGTACATAGTAAAATCAGCTGTAAAAATGAGGAATTAAATACTGCAGTCTGGTTGCTAATGAATACCATTTGTGCTCCAGCCTCTCAAAATGCCAGGAAAAGCTATCAACTATTGGTCCCTTCTTTCTGCAATAAGCAACAATACGAGGTAAGTACCGCCTTTTTTTATGGCAGAATTTATCACTCAACTACAAGTCAAGCTTTCTAACTCCCTTTTCAACAGTACAACATTCCAGAAGAATTTCACAAGAAAATACATAAACATGAGATGGCCACAAGAGAAAACACTGGGTTTTGTTTCAAGTTCACAGAGATCCCCATATAATTCTCTTTCAAATATATAATATACATTTAAATACATTTAAATATAGAAACAATACAAGTTTTCATTTTAAAATTATTAACTATACCTTATCTTCAGATGGACAAAGATATAAATATTGGAATGTGGCGGTTATGTTTTTAGAGAATCTTGGCCCAAAAACATCTTTATCAGTTCCAAACTGATGACGAGACTGTCGCACAATTGAGTCAATTACATATAATCCTGGAACCTTGTACTCTGGTTTACACTACAAAGATAAAGATGCAAAGTTAACACAAGAAAAGCAAAATCACAATTTGATGCCCAATAATCTTTCTTTTACATGGATAAACTCTGTATATCCAATGACTGTTTCTATTTAGAAACTGCATGAATGTTTGGTTCTTTTATTGGCTAGCTTGTCAAATTTCCCACAGGTGTGTACAGAACTACCAATTCTCCTGACTCTCCAGATCCCCAATATTTTACTTTCCTCTGATCCCTCTCTCCCCCGACAATTTCCCCAAATGAACATTACTTTACCAATCCCTAAGCCACTTCCACACAAATCCACTTATTATACTCTCTACTCCCAACTCATCCTGCTTAAAAAAATAATTTCTACCTCTTAAAGTTATCAAAAAGATAGTTTTAGTAACATCAATTTTAAATCTACTCAAGTATAGTACCAGAGAAAAGAAAAACTGAGAGGAGAGATCACATTTTTGGCCCACCAAATCAATAAGAAGCAAGGAGAAACAGACACATATATATTTCTGGTGGTACAACCTTTATGGATGATGATTTAGCAATAAAAGCAAAGCCTTATTTGATCCAACAATTCCACATCTAGAAATTTATCATAAGGAAAACCATTAAGATGTGGCTAATTTTTTCCTTAAGGCCAACCACTGAAGTTGAAATGTCCAAAAGGAACTAGCTGAGTAAACTGTGGAAACAATCATGCAATGGAGTACTTTTTGCAGACATTTCATGATAAATTCAGTGGGAAAGCAGCTACTGATGTCACCAGTTTCTTTTATGAATGTATGTGTACAGAAATAAAAAATGAGTAGATCCAAATAAAAATATCATAGTAATTTGGGGTGGTGACAAATAGGTAATTTTAATTTTTTTCCATTTTACTTATTGGTACTTTGATATGCTACTATAAAAAACTTCCCCTGATCATTTTTTTGGTCTGTTGGGAGTCTAACTCCTAACTCTCAGTTAGTATTCAAAGGCCATGGATTAAAGACAATGCAACACACATTTACTGGTTCGTACTATGAAACATAGCTCCAGGTTTTGGGGAGGGGTAGACAGAGAGGTTTATTAAGTCTCTGTTCTCAGTCCTCCCCTGGTGAGACAGATGTGTGCTAATCAATGGTTATAAAACCAGATACAACTGTAGAAGTGAAAAATGATTTAATTATGATAGGAGCAGGAAAAAGTTGGAAAAACTTTACAAACTGATTTCATTTGAAATACTTCAAGATGAGTTAAATGTCAACGAAGTAAACAGAGCAAATGGCACAGGAGGCACATCAGACTCAGAGAAGAGTCATGCTGAGTACACAGGAAACTTGCTGAGTGCCTACCTTATACTAATTAATAAACAGCATTGCTATACATTTTCGGTTAAAAAACAAACTCAAGCGATTAACAAGAACACCTAGTGACAACTTTTTTGGTAGAGTGGCTTTAGAAGCAAGCAGCCAAATTACAATTTACAAAGTAAATTACAAATACTGATCATAACTAAAATGAAGTAATAAGGAAACGGATAGTTACCTTTTTGATGAACTTTTCTACTATTTGAACTACATGCTTATAAAGCTGAAAAGAATTAAAAGAAAATTATTGTACGGTTTACATATTTCTACATATTCAGTAATATAATTAGAAAATACTTAAAACCTTAAAATTTGCACAATGTGAATTCTCAAAATACTGAATGAACCATGACAAATAATCCCTAGTCAGTAAGTGAACAATCATGAATCAGAAGAGAATTAACCAAAACAGAAACTACAAAAATACCCCCAACAGGTCCTTTTATTAAAGATTTTTAATCAATAAACCTTAATAAGGCAGTGTATTCAGGCAACTATGAGCCCAATAAAAACAGTGGAACTGGAACTAAATAATGCAGTTTCTAAAGTGAGTCAGCTACTTAAGGTGTGATCTTGAGGAAAACATTTAATTTCATGGAGCCTGAGCTGTTTTTTTTTTTAATATAAGTATGAGGCTAATACTCAGCTGATTTATGGCAAGAATTAACTAAAACAAAGAAAAAATCCTTTCATTCTACTCTCTACTTCTATTCAACTTTCTGACACTGACACACACACACACAACACACCAGCAAATACATGAGGCAACAAATGTGCTAATTAGCTTGACTGTGTTAATCATTTCATAATGTGTAAGTGTATCAAACCATCATTTTAAAAAATAATTTATTTAAACAAATAAATAATTAGTTTTAAATAAATTTGATTTTGTCAATTATACTTCAATAAAGTTGGAAAAAATATAAATGGGAGATACTAAAACAACAAAAAAGGGAAAAAGGTTTTGAAATAATGTGTTACATTTCAAATATATTGTACCGTATTATCACGTGTCTTCAGCAAAAGCTAGTTACTGTTCTTTGATTCACGCCTAAACTAAGAGGATGAATTCTCATGTTTAAAAGTATTTTCAAAATTTCAAAAACATTTTTTGAATTAAATATATTTTATTCTTACCTTAATAGCTTTAATAGCAGCTTTAGTGATAAGAATCATCTTGGCTCGAGAGATGGGAGGTTTCATATCCATAAGTGAAAAGAGCTTAAAAAACAAAAATAATTTAGAAATTAAAAGTTAGAGGTCAATTCCCCCCACTTCTACAAAGATAATGCAATTTATTAATTAAAAGAATAACAAACTTTTGGAACTAAGGTGAACAATTTAGCTCGTAAAAAAATTCCAAGCACTTTCCTATATACCTGCATCGCTACCAAGAAAATACAATGGAAAAGATACTAAAAAGAGCAAGAAAGAAAAAATAAGAGATTTACTAAAACTATAACTAAAAACAAAAAAAACACAAAACACCTAGAAAATTTTACTAAAGAACTCAGAAATAATTTGAATGGAAACATACCAGGGGTTTCTGAGATTGGCAACAGTATGACTCAATATTTAATGCAAACCTCACTGAGATTTTGGAGAACTTCAAATAATTCTAAGGTTCATTTGGAGAAAGCTGTATTAAATTAGGCAAGAAATTTAAAATGCTGGAATTCACAATTTCTTGATTTAGTCAGGCATAAAAATAGCACCATATCTACCAAATCTCATGACAGTAAATCCAACAATAAGGTGCTCCCCATGAGATTCAACCACACATGCACACTTTTCCCCCCCAATATTTAAATCAAAACAAGACATAATCAGAGCCCACAGAGAGTTACAAAGATAAAATCCTGACATTAAGAAGCTTGTATCTAGCTTCTTAAATTCTTTTTTTGTTTGCTTTTGTTTTGGTTAAAAAAATTTTATTTATTTGAGAGAGGGCATGCTCACGTACTCACGGGGTGGGGAACACAGAGGGAGAGGGAAACCAGCAGACTCCCCACTGAGCAGAAAGCCCACGCAGGGGGCTCCAAGCCAGGACCCTAAGATCAGGACCTGAGCCTAAACCAAGAGTCAGCTCAACCAACTGAGCCACCTGGGTGCCCATTTGCATTTTGTTTAATCATGGGCACATACTCACCCTAGGACTTCTAAAAAGATAATCTGTGGGATTTTTTTTTTTTTTTAAAGTAGGCTCCACCCTCAATATGGAGCCCAACACAGTGTGGCTTGAACTCACCACCCTGAGATCCAGACCCAGCTGAGATCAAGAGTCAGATGATTAACTAAAGGAGTCACCAAGGCACTCCTAAAAAGATACTGTGAAATAATTAAGTTTCAGGGCTATATACGAATCATATTTCCAAACAATGTTGATACTCCACATATGTAATCTCTAAGACACAGATCTTTACTAGATCACTAAGAAGTTAACCTAAAGTACAAAAGTCTCTTTTTGTAACGTAAACAGCCCTATTTGGCAATATACCCTAAAAATTCAAGAAAATTTTCACAGCTCTTCACACAACTACAGACACAACGGGACTACAGATAACAGTAACAGTAATATTAGAAAAGGCATGGAATGCCAGAGATAATCAATACAAGAATTAGATACTCTGGTTTAAGCAGAGAAAAGTAGAATTCTTCCATAAGTAATATTAAGATTAAAAAAATTGGGGAAAACACAGATAGTAACAAAGGAATTTGTTTTAAAAAATGCGATTCTCTGAAGAGGGTCACCAATTCTTTATTATTTCTTTACCAAGGTAATAAAAATTATCCTTGAGAATAAATGCTCATTAACAGAAAACAATCAGAAAGGAGACAGTAATCTTTGAGACTAATATAAAATGATGGGAAATGAAAAAACAATTTAAAATATTACAGTTTAAATACAAATTCTAAAAATATAAACACTGCATGAGATATATACCATGCACTTTTATAAAGGATATTTTCTTACCGTTTATAAGTTATAAAATTTATTACGTCAATTGTTATTACTGCTGTTCTATTTTCTTTTCTGTAACTTAATGTAGAGAAAAGGGATGCAAAAAAGTTTATACATGATCTTTAGGAATGAACAACAGTGAGAACTACTTCTCTGGTCATTAAAAGCTTAGAGAATCATATTTTCATGAAACTTAAGCAAAAAGTACTCATTTATTGTATCAAATAGCACTCCTTGATTACTTCAGCAGTGAGCAACTTGCCTTATTAAAAAACCTCAGCCAACTGAGCACACAAGACAGACCAATGTACCATCACATAAAATACTCCATAGTCTCTATTTAAATTACAACTTGTTAAAAAAAATGAAAATAGACTATATCATACAGCACTATAACCATTCATGCAAAACACCAGCAAGAGAACCCTCAAGTGCTATTATCAAAGAGCCAGTAAAAAGGATGTTAAACATTTCATGAAGAAGGATGACTTGGTAAGAGAGGAGGGAACCAGCATCTGAGGGCCTATGATGTATAAGGAAGAATTAAATTTAGTGGTATATAATTTTATTTAATCATATTAACAACTGGAGGGAGGAGGGTGGGGGGTGGGCTAAATGGGTGATGGGTATTAAAGAGGGCATTTGCTGTGATGAGCACTGGGTGCGGTATGAAAGTGTGGAATCATTAAATTCTACACCTGAAACCAATTTTACCATATGTGTTAATTAACCAGAATTTATATAAAAAGTTGAAAGGAAAAAAAAATCCATATTAACAACTAACACATTCTCTTCCAACTGTTTAAGATGATACTCAAAAGGGTTACTTACACATCTGTTTCGGATGATGCCCAGGGAATGGGTTTGAACTATAATTTGTAGATTTTATAGTTCACAACCCCCTCCTTTAAAGATTTTATTTATTTATTTGACAGAGAGAGTGAGCACAAGCAAGGGGAGTGGCAGAAGGAGGGAGAGGGAGAAGCAGGCTCCCAGAGGACCAGGGAGCCCAACATGGGCCTGGATTCCAAGACCCTGGGATCATGACCTGAGGCAGCCGCTTAACTAACTGAGCCACACAGCTGCCCCTATAGCTCACAATTCCTAATAGCACATTCATACCCTTAATGCAATGCTGCTTATAGATTAAATACATACGAGACCATTATGATGGGGAATACAGACAAAACATGAAGCAGGCATCTGTGCCTATCTATATATATATTATATTGACTCAGGGATAATGACTAAACATATTCAATTTATACTGAAGTTCAGGCAGACATGAGACTACGGCTCTTGAACACAGAAATGGTCCAGTCTAGAAAATGAAAAGTCACAGAGTCAAGACCATGAGTGTGGGTGAGAAGAAATTTGTAGTAAGAAGAAAGCGAAGAAAGAACACGTAAGCTAGGATGTATCGAAATGCCACTGTGGTATAGAGAAAGGGGTTGCACGAATGAATAATATCAGGATAAATACCAGAAATTAAAGGCATATGGCATGGTCAAATGTTGTCAGAGGTGCATGGTTTGACTATTAGGTGGCTGAACAGATACTAGGATACTCGTTTTTCAAAGTGATTTCAAAGGCCAACTGGTAAAGAAGTAGGAGGTGAGGAGGCAGAAATGCAGTTTTGTGTAATTTTCCATTAATTTAACAAATTTCTGAGCTCTCAGGAAGTGTCAAGCTCAGTGAGTGGTACATAGAGGAGGCAGAGCCATGTTTCAGTGCTTTACAGATGACCGCTCTTAAAATATCTCTTACTTGTAAGCCCTGCGATGCTTCTGTCACATTTTTCTTTTTAGACGGTCTTTGCTTTCCTTTACAAATGACTGCTTTTAACCTTAAAGCCAAAAATCTGTATTTGATATAATTTATAAAGAAAAACAATACTACAGGCAGATAGAGAAGTTACAAAACCCGAGGCTGAAAAAATTACCTTTAAAAGCTCAGTGAATGTTACTAATATTTTACTGACTTCTTCGAAGCACAAATTCATCAGTTTCTATCTTATGCAAGGCAAAAAGTTTCCCCTGATAACTAGATCAATACCTTCCTTGGATATAGAGACCCAGAAATTATGCTGAAATTGATATACCTTACTGGAACTATGTGCACTGACACTACCTATTTAAATAGAAACACTAATTGCTTTTGTGGTAGTTGGATATTATAATTCCACATGAGAACACTGAGGCATAAAAGTTCAAGAATCCGCTCAAAATCATAATTTAGGTGGTAAATTTAATCTGTGGTCCACCACTACCCAAAGCTCAAGTTCTTTCCAATAACTACTTAACAATAAAGAAATTATTTCATTAATACTATAATACATTATCTTAGAGGAATGAATAGCACACAGACATTAAAGATGATAGACTATACAACTAAATTTTTAAAAGTTATATATAAATATACACATATATATGCAATTATATATATGTGTGTGCGTGCGTTTGTGTGTGTACGCGCATGAAGACCCAAATAAGAAAGTATACCAATATTTAACTGTTATGGAGGGACCGGACCCAAAGATTTTTTTAGTAACAAAAAATAAGTGACACAGAGATAAAGTGCTATGTCCAGCCAAGCAGTAAGTTAGAGGTAATGTACTAAGTCCTTCACTGGATCTAGAGCAAAACTGAAATTTAATAATCTTAGATAAGAAAGAGTTAATTGACATATTGGCTGAGAAATCTCTCAGAAGTACACGACCTTGTGGTGGTGATCTAAGAAGACTCAGATTATAGTTCCTGAATTTCCCCCCCCACAGGTATACTCACTTTATTTATTTATTTTTTCATTATTCATTATTTTCATTTTTCATTAAAAGTTAACATATAATGTATAATTTGTTTCAGGGGTACAGGTCTGTGATTCATCAGTCTCACACAATTCACAGCACTACCATAGCACTCCATACCCTCCCCAAAGTCCATCACCCAATTACCCCCTCCTCTCCAGCAACCCTCCATTTGTTTCCTGAGATTAAGAGTCTCTTATGGTTTGTCTCCCTGATTTCATCTTGTCTAATTTTTCCCTCTCTTTCCCTATGATCTTCTGTCTTGTTTCTCAAATTCCTCCTATCAGTGAGATCATCAGCATAATAGCATTTAGTTCTATCCCCATCCTTGCAAATGGCAAGATTTCGGTGTTTTTAACGGCTGCATGATATTCCATTGTATACATATATACCACATCTTCTTTATCCATTCATCTGTTGATGGACATCTAGACTCTTTCCATAGTTTGGCTA